CCTAAAACCACCCTCACAACTCCGTTCAGAGAACCGCTTGGCAGATTTGGAAAGCGGATTTGAATTCAGCGCTCAAAAACACGTCTGGCAGTATAGGTCTTATTTCAAATGGCCACTTCGAGTTGGGATCCTTCCCTGGTAAGTAATTTCCTTGTTCTACCGTGATTCCTACCTCTGTTTCACAAACGTGTATCGATCCCCGTTACTCTCGGAAGGTAACCGGTTTGGCGCGATCGCTCCCATCGCGCTACCCATTCGACACGGTTTGCGAGCTGAGCAAGTCGTCCAAGTGATCGGGCCCCTCTAGATGATGTTTATAAGCCCGATCGATGACGCCTCTACCATTGACACCGAATCGCGGACGCTTTATGTGATAGAACTTGTTTTGACTTGATGTTTTGTTAACTGCTGTAATTTCCCCGCGTACAACAAGTTCTATCATGTTAAGTTTACAGCTTTACGGTTCTATGCTGACATTGGCCGGCCTGCTCAACACGTTGTACGTGTATGATGATAAGCTATGGCATATAAGGCATTAAGGGCAAGCGGAGTCTCGATAGTGTAAGAGATAGAGCACGATGCCCGGAAAGTATTATACAAGTACGGGCTCGTGTCTCCTCCAAAGTCGAAATTTCGCCCATAGCCAACCCTAATAGACTTTCGGATCGTACACTGCGGCGAAATAACAGCAGATAACAAACCATCAAGACCAAACAAGTTTTGAATTTTCGCTTCGTACGTTTGCTTGTTTCTTTGTAGTGAAAAATTCTACACGCAGTATAACTAGTAATTAAGGGCTGGGATGACCATCACACGTGTTGTTCCCGCTTATTGTTGTTATGGCTCCTCAGCCGCGCCATTGAACGACCATACATGCAGTGAACCGCTTTGCGACGATGCCACCACTCAGGTTGTCGTGAAGCAGGAACCAATGGAAGAACCCAGGGCAGAAGCGACAGTGCAGGTGATACATTTATACTCAAAAGCGCAGTCATAGTTCGGGCAGCCCGGGACCTCGGATTTCACAGAAGTTCTGTATAATGAATCAAATGAAACCTCAGTTAATCCATAGACCACCAGTCACAGCCGTGCATCAAACGCAGGCTCTCATTGATTGCTGCTAAACAAAGGTGCTCCCGCCAATGAGCATGCTACTATGCATGAATATCTGCTATCCATGAATGAACTGAGAGAGGGCAGTGGCTTTGGCGGGCATGACCGCTACGCAATACGCATGTGGAGTAAATCCACTATCGTACGCTCTGTTTTGAAAATGAATCATGTTATTCGGAATTAAAAGAAATCCAGTCGCGATGTTCGAGTGCAAGTTGTCCGAAGAGTTGCCTAAAGAAGCATATGGTGAAGGTAGCGGAGAAAAAAATGATAAGTTCCCGTACATTAGATAAAGTTCATTTGGTAATTAATGCTCCTGTA